GCTTTCTCTCTCTCTTCTTTTTTTTTTTTTTTTTTTTTGAGACAGAGTCTCACTTTGTCGACCATGGTAGAGTACTGTGGCATCATAGCTCACAGTAACCTCAAACTCTTGGGTTCAAGGGATCCCTTGCCTCAGCCTCCCATGTAGCTGGGACTACAGGTGCCTGCCACAATGACCAGCTATTTTTTTAGATACAGGGTCTCAATATTGCTCAGGCTGGTCTTGAACTTGTGAGCTCAAGCAATCCACCTGCCTCAGCCTCCCAGCCTAGCTCGCTTCTTTACCTTTTATCTTCTCATTTGTTCTCCAATATTCTTCCAGATTCATTTCACTGACAATAATAAATACTTACTAAGAACCTACTTTATGCGTTTTTGTTAAGGCCTCACAGAAATCTAATGAAGTGCTACAATGAAGACACTAAAGCTTAGAAAAACTAAATTATTTTCACACACAAAAAAAATGCCACAACTCTATATATGTATATATGTGTTCCATATTGTGTGTGTTCAGATACTGGGAGTACCAAAAAAATGTATGCACATTTTAAGCAAGGTTATCTACATATTACTTTTCAAAGCTGAATTGAATTACAGTAGCAATGAGTAGTATGATGTTCACTCAAAAGATGGTGTTGGGGAACACTGTGCATCCTGACAGGAGCGGCGGCCTGGGCCTGGCCGGGTGGGTGCCTAGCAAGCCTATAAACCAGAGCACCATCACTTCTTGGATATCTCCTGAGTTTGATACAACAGCAGAAAGCTGGTTCCTAGCCTACCGGAAATGCCACTGAGACCAGGCATTACGTTCAAGTCGAAAATCTGGCACCTCCAAATTTCCACATCTAACATTTGAGAGTCTACATTCTTCTTCCATTTCAGAGACATTGGAGAGCCCTTTAATCAAGGAGTGCCCCAATCAACAAGAAAAGAAGAATTCTAGAAGACCCTTAGTTCCAGTGCTCAGTCCTCAAAGCTCTGGGGACCTGTCAATACACGCACTTCAGAGTCTACCTTATGCGTTCATTCCACCTGACATCCAGACCCCAGAGTCATCTGTCGTGAAGGAAGAATCTTCTCCTCAAGATCAGAAGGAAAACAGCCTTCCATACTGCTCTGGTCACACTAATACTCCCAGCAGCCCAGAGCCTGGGCCTATTCTGGTTAAAGATACACCTGAGAACAAGTATGGGATAAAGGTCACGTGGAGGAGACAACAACACCTGCTTGCTTACCTTGGGGAGCGAGGAAAGCTGAGTAGAAGCCAGTTACTTGTGAAAAACTGACTCCCTCTCTTATCAACACTCTCAAGAAATTGCTGATTTTCAAAGAGTTGCTAAAGTCACTTTTCTAACTCATGAGAGTCTATCAATAGAATAAAATAGAAATAACACCAACAGAAAAAAATTTTTTTTAACTATAGCCTTGGAGTTACAAGGGAATTGAATTCCCACATTTGCTTTTTAAGATATCTTGTGTCATGAACTGTTTACTTTATATTTTTTTCCGGCATTAACTGTTTAAAATATATATAAATAAATGGTAGATGGTGTTGGCTCGGTGCACATAGCACTTTGGTTACAGTACCAGCCATATAATCAAGGCTGGCGGGTTCAAACCCTGCCTGGGCCAGCTAAATAACAATGACAACAGCAAAGAAAAAAAAAAAAAAAGCCGGGCTGTGGCAGGCACCTGTAGTCCCAGGCTACTTGGGTGAAGCAAGAGAATTGCTTAAGCCCAAGAGTTTGAGGTTGCTGTGAGCACTCTACCAAGGGCAACATAGCAAGACTCTATCTCCAAAAAAAAAAGATAGTGTTAATGAAATGAATACTATGTCACCATATGACAGGCATGAGTAGGATAGCTTCTCTCAAAGTCTGCATACTTTTTTTGGCACCCTCTGTATATTAGGAAAAATTCTGAAAAAAATGTAAACAGAAAACTGTTACAAGTAGTAACTCTGGGGAACAGAACTGAAATAAAAAGAAATTTTCAAAAAAAAGAAAAATTTTTATTTTAATTTTTATCCTTCTATGTTTCTCTTAAATTTTCTTAAATTTAAAATTTTCTCTTAAATTTACTTAAATTTTCTTCAGGTACATAAAACTTTGTTTCTTTTTTTGAGACAGAGTCTCACTATGTCACCCTCAGTAGAATACCATGAAGTCACAGCTCACAGCAACCTCAAACTCTTGGGCTTAAGTGATTCTCTGACCTCAGCCTCCCAAGTAGCTGGGAATACAGCCACTAGATATAATACCTGGCTAATTTTTTAGAGATGGGGTCTCACTCTTGCTCAGACTGGTCTTGAACCCCTGAGCTCAAGCAATCCACCCGCCTCAACCTCCCAAGTGCTGGGATTACAGGTGTAAGCACCCAACATTGGTACTTTTCTAGTTAAGAATCCGCACCCAGCCTATAAAATATAAATCATGTTTTAAAAAGTTGTCCAAGGTCTTAGAACTAGTGAAAGGTATAGATAAAAGGTAAAACTAAAACCCATCTGATTCCAGGGCCCAGACACTTTCCACACAGTGTGCTCATGTTTTACTTTGAGAGTCTAGCTACACACAAATCACAATCACAATACAATGTCTAACTGTGCTCTTTATCTCCTAGATAACCCAAAACACAAATGATGAGAATATTTTGAAATGAAATGTTATATATCCAATGGATCAAATAAGAAAAGCAACAGAAACTAAAGAGCAGGTTCTGATGCTGTGCACAAGGCCAGAGCAACATATGCGATTCCATTATATCGACCAATGGTTTCTGTCATAGTTAAGTCAGCTATAGGGTGTCCTATGAATGAAAGGTCTTTTTGATCAGTGTGGAAATATGGATTCTAGATTTTAAGTTCTGCCACTAGATTACTGACCCTCTGCTTACAGATATTAAAGATACAAGTACTGCCAAGAGGTTCCACTTATTATTATTATTATTTTGAGACAGAGTCTCACTCTGGGTAGAGTGACGTGGCATCATCATAGCTCACAATAACCTCAAACTCTTGGGCTCAAGAAATTATCTAGTCTCAGCTTCCTGAGTAGCTGATACTATAGGCTAATTTTAGCCTGGCTAGTTTTAGTTTTAGCAGAGATTGGGGTCTCTCTTTTTTTTTTAATTAGGTGTTTTTGGGCAGTTTTTGGCCGGAGCCGGGTTTGAACCCGTCACTTGTGGTGCCCTACCCCACTGAGCCATAGGTGCCACCTTGGGGTTTTGTTCTTGCTTAGGCTGGTCTCAAACTCTTAAGCTCAAGCAATCTACCCACCTCAGCCTCCCACAGTGCTAGGATTACAGGTGTGAGCCACTGTACCCAGTCAAGAGATTCTAATTTTTGAATTTTTACTTTTACTTTTTTTGTGACAGGGTCTCACTTTGTTACCCAGGCAAGAGGGCAGTGACATCATCACAGCTCACTGCAACCTCAAACTTCTGGACTCTGGCAATCCTCCTGCCTCATCCTCCCCAGTAGCTGCAACTACAAGTGCACCCTACCATGATGCATGGCTAATTTTTCTATTTTTTGTAAAAACAGGGTCCTGCTATGTTTGTCTAAAGAGATTCTACCACTTCAGCCTTCTAAACTCGTAGGATTATAGGCAGAAACTAACATGTCTGGCCAAGATGTTCCATTTTTTTCCTTAATCTTTAAATCATTATGCTTCTCAACTTTTACATATTACTCTTTTAATATAATAATTTTGTGAGATAAGTAGAATAAATATTATTTCCTGCATTTAGGTAGAAGTACTGAGGTAGAAAGTAAATCTATAAAATGCGGGACAGTGCAGTAGAGTCTTGTTTGCCTTACAGGAATGTACTTAACAAAGTAACTATTTTCCAACCATATCTGTCACTGTGCTCCCATTGCCAGGGAGCTAGGGGCTGATGAGGGACACTGGATCTCCTTGCTCAGTCTTATGAAATGGCTATGAACTACTTCCTTCATTGCCAGAGTATGTGATACATTCAGGTTCCTCCCACCACAAGGACAGGTGAGATGGACTGGTGCTTTTTTCAGAGTCAGCTTGCCAAAACAAAGCTGATGATAGAAATTCATAGATTTTCTCTAGCTAGATGTCATTAAATTGTTTTTTATTTATTTATTTATTTTATTTTGTAGACAGAGTCTTATTATATCACCCTTGGTAGAGTACTATGGCATCATAGTTCACAGCAACCTCAAACTCTTGGGCTTAAGCAATTTTCTTCCCTCAGCTTTCCAAGTAGCTGAGACTAAAGGTGCCCACCACAACACCCAGCTATTTTTTGTTGTTGTTGTTGTTTAGCAGGCCCAGGCTGGGTTCAAACCAGCCAGCCTTGGTGTATGTGGCTGGTGCACTACTCACTGAACTACGGGCACTGAGCCCAATTGTTTTTTTAATGACACAGCTGGAATTTGAGTCAACAGCCATCACCGGAAACACAAAAAGTTAAAAACATTAACACTAGAGACTAAAGTCATGCCTTTTTACTATACCTTTATTTATTTATTTATTTATTTTTGAGACAGAGCCTCAAGCTGTCGCCCTGGGTAGAGTACCATGGCATCACAGCTCACAGCAACCTCCAACTCCTAGCTGGACTCAAGCAATTCTCCTGCCTCCACCTCCCAAGTAGCTGGGACTACAGGTGCCTGCCACAACACCCGGCTTTTTTTTGGTAGCAGCTGTCACTGCTGTTTGGCAGGCCGGCGCTGGATTTGAACCCACCAGCTCAGGTGTATGTGGCTGGTGCCTTAGCCACTTGAGTCACAGGTGCCGAGCCAGTATACTCCCTTTTTGAAATGTTGTTTTCCTTCTCTTTCTTTTTTCCCTTTTTTTTTT